TTTGTTGGCAGAAGTCCATGTTTGTAGCTCTTTCTTTTTTTAAAACCTTTTTTCCCTCGAGATTGATTTGATTAGCAAATCAAAAATTCGAGGGTTTTTCGAAACGAGTCTAGTTATCTATATTTATATGTATATATATATATATATATATATATATATATATATATATATATATATATATATTTTAGGCAGCAGTCTTTCATTTTATTTTTACTTTTTAACTAGATGTATGGGTTGTATATATGTTTCTAAAATTATAGAGATGTTTTATTTTCTGAAGACAGTTAGCACATTGAGGCCGTGTTCATAGTTAATATTACTGAGTGTTTGATTTTTCTTTTTTTATTATTAAGGCTTCCATTATTTTTAATCTTTTTTTACATGTGAATGAGGTTATTATATTTGTATTTTCTACTAGTAGGATGGAGTCTGGTAAGTTTGTGTGTGCGTTTAAATGGATTCTAATAGAACTGTAGTCAGATAGGTGTAATATAAGGCGTCTTGATAGGCATGTAGTCATGTGACCGAGATAACTATTTATGAATTCAGTTGATCAGGAACACTCTCATGCAAATTAGCACAACAACCTCCACTTCTACTCCATCAGTTTCTTTTCTCACTCTTCCCGACAGTGGAACTCCCTTCCCCTTACTTGCTTCCCTGATTACTAGAATCTTCAAAAATTTAAATGCCACTATTTCTGCTGCCTTGATCCCTGTTCTTCTTTTATTGTTTTCTCAATCCCCTCTATAAACAGTCTTTTTCCTCACTTTCACTCTCTGTAACTCCCTTTATGTTAGTGGCTCAACTACCTTGCTTGGGGTGAAATGCTTAAAAAAAATTCTCGAATCTCAAATTCCATACCTTGGGAACTTGTCTTATATATACATTGTAACTATTAAGTTATTCCCACTGATTCAATAAGGTCGTCATCTGTAGTTTGAACAAAATTTATGCCACACTGTACTGTCAGTTCTTTAATGATAGTTACAATAATTTCAGGGTGTTTTGATCAAAAGCACCAAAATAGATGAAAGAAACTCGCCAAAATGTTCACAATGGTGGAAAAAAACTGTTTTAAAATCTCTTTGAAAGTCTTAGAAATTAAAAATGCAAACAAAAGTATACAAAGCACAAGTCTTTTAGGTTGAATCATAAATAATTTTAGTTTTTGTTTATCAACATAAATTTATATATATATATATATATATATATATATATATATATATTAATATAGAAATGGACAAAAGTCAAACAATTATTTTAGGACATTTTATGTTTAACATTCTTTTATAGATACAAATATTAAGTAAATACTCTGTTTATGATAAAAAAAGTATTTAACAACATTTACCGGCCTGAATATCTGAGAAATTTTCACAAAAAATATTCATCCTCCGACATTCAGGCTGGTAAATGTTGTTTAATACTGTTTATTATAAACAGAGCATTTGCTCAAATATTTGTACCTATAAAAAGAATGTCTAAACATAAAATGTCTTAAATAATTGTCAGACTTTTGTCCATTCATATAATATATATATATATATATATATATATATATATATATATATAGGTATATAATGTATTAAAACTAGGTTGTCTGTGCAGACTTATCTCATTAAGAATCTATGAGGAAGATAGATTGTGTATGCCAGTAATAATGACAATGTTCTTTTGAAATGCTCGCCACATTCACCTGACTTGACACCTTGTGGTTTTTTTTTCCATGGGACTATGTGAAAAGACAGGTCTATATCCATCCCATTTTCCTACAAGCCTAGAGGAACTTAAGCTGAGAATCACTGCGATACTAAAGAGAGTTATGCAAGGCATGCTACAGTGTGTTTGGCAGGAGCTGGACTACTGATTTGACATGTATCATGTCACAAGTGAAGTGCATATTGAACATTCGTGAAGCTTTGTGAAATCAATTATAAAATCTACATTCCTTTGAATATCTTGCTAAAATGTTGATAAATAAATCTTTTATTGTTGAACAGGAAGCCTATTTAATTTTGTTTGTCTGGAACATGTAGTTGCTCAAATATTCGCATTTTAAATTATGTCAATTTTGGGATGTACCCCAGGTATATTAACCATTATTTGTAAAGATATGTTGCTGCTTATCAGGCAGCTCTTTGATAGCTTTTGAGTAATATTCTACAGGTTTTGATGAGCAACTCTTGAATTTGGTTTTCATTAGAGAAAGCTTTCCCCATTAAAGTATTCTTCTGTGATCAAAAAAGGTAATATAGATTCGTGTAAGATTAGGTTAATGAGGTGGATTGAGGTAGAACAGAAGAGTTGAGTTCCATAATTTTTTACTGTGTTATTTTTGCTATATGCTGCTTTGTATTATTATCATAACGAAGAACAACATCTTTCCTATTGATTAATACAGACTGCTTTTTGACAAATCTTTTACAGACATGTTGCAGCTACTGGATGTATAAATGTGCATTTAGTGTTTCATTACATTTTAAGAACTCCAAAATGTACAATAGCCTGAGGATCTCATCACATGAGCAATAATAGCTTTCTTCCAAGGAGCCTAACTTTTGATATATTTAAGGAATCGGTTATTTCTGTTTTGAAAGAAAAATTGTTGCTAAGGATAAACCATTTTCTTTGTTCTTTTCTCTAAGAGCATGTGGACCCAAAACACCCAGCTTGTTGATTTGCCTTATTTGTTTTTTAGCGTTTTCATATAGTTGATGGTGGTGTGTTTAACATCTTTGTTGCAAATGATTACTAGTCATGATAATACATTTGTTATTACAATTGGTTCCTAACAACAGAAATTACTTATGACTCAACTGAATACAAAGATGGCAAGGATATTAGAGTGATACAGATTATATATGCCAATAAATGTGTGTGTGAATGGAAATGATAATGATTTTAGTGGTAATCATGACAAAAATAGTAATAGCATTTGGATGCTTCTTAATAACAACAATTATATTCATAGGGATAATGATAAAGAAAGTAAAAATATAATAATAATATTGATGATATAATAAAGGATAATAACAGCTCTGGTAATTATTAGGCTATGAAATTGTTAATATTTCTTTTGTCCTTGCTTTTTGGTTTTTGGAATGGCAGTTACAGCTATTTAAAAAACATCCCACCGAGAGGACAAAAAAATATAAATATGACTAATAAAAAATCTGTATTTTTGTCAAGCAACAATACAACCTGAGGCTTGTAAAAATCTTGAAAAAATATAATTATAGACCAAAAGATGATAATTGTGGCCAACAGTTGTGGCTGTACCAGAATCCAAAGAATATAGAATTCCGATGGTTATTATGGCAAAAATATTCTTGAAGATAATTACAAAAGTCTGCAAAAATGAATTCCAGAATTTTTGGTCATTAAGGATTGTAAGCTTCCTTTCATACTAATAGTAAACAAAGTCGGTACTATCAATACTAATAATTATACCATTAAAAATATCTGTAACCATACTTACTCATCTTCTTCTATGTGCCATGCTTTTTCAGGACATTGGCAATCATAACCCTCCACAACTTCCTGTCCTTTGTAGACCTTAGTAAATTTTGTCTTTTTGCTATCTCTCCTAAGCTCTGTTTTGCTTTCCATTTACACAAGCTCATTAGGTTGGTTATGCATTGTTTTTCTCTGTCCCTATTGACTCCAATATGTCCTGTTAGTGTCAAATTTTCTAAACCTGCTTTCCTCATTATGTGCTTTAGAAATTTTAATAGTCTCATTATGATGTTAAGTTTAAGTGTCCTTTTTGTTTCCGTTTTTTCCAAAATTTCCTCGCTGCTCACATGTTCATTCCATGGTATTTTCAGCATCCTTCTGTAGAACCACACTGTTGCCTTCACTGTCATATAGGAGGACTGATATTAGATAACAGTTCAGTACTCTTTTCTTAACTCAAATTCCTTTTATCAAATTAGTTCAAATGATTACAATAATGATATTAAAGACATAATAGAAACAAGTGTGAAAAGTAAATAGAAATAGTTATTGGAGAATTAGTAAGAACAGTTAAGGTAATAGTAATGGTAATATTAGCTCTTTCCTTATAAGGAAACATTCAGCATTCATTGACTGAACAGTCTTTGCTGCTACCGGTTGAAATTTATAAAATCTTCCTCTTAAAAAATTTTTTCAGGAAAATAAGTTTCTCAAGTCCAGTAGCTGTTATCACTCTTTACAGTATTGACAAAGGTTTCCTTCCTAACCTGCAACTAATAGATTAGATGCAACTTCCAATGGCCAACAAGGTTGGAATATGCTTACCACAGTCAATATTTAGCCATGGGCAATTCTCTGCTGGTTTTTCAACAGCAAAAATATTACAACTATGAAAGTTTCCAAAAATAATGGTGGGACAGAGGAATAAGCATAGTTTTTACAAGAAACATGATAAAAAACATACTTTATCTTTTCCAGTGTCTTTTTTGTCAGCCATTTTGCCTATCGTTTTCCTTGTGGAAAATCATGAGTGTATCCATTTGCAATTAAACAGACAAAGCAAGCAAATGGGCTGCTTTATCTATTGTCACTATTGACTGATGAAGGCCATTTTAAAATACTTGAAAATCAAGTAAGTAAATTAATGTCATATAAGACCATATGATATTTTTTGCTTTTTTATATTTTATAACTCTATTATGATATCTGCTTTAATTTCTTATATCGTATAAATAATATATGTTTTCTTTCTAATATTTTATAAATATATTGTTATTTACTCCTGCCCTCCAGAGTCCCATACCTTCATGTACGGCATGTACTTCAGCCATAACAGCAGTGAGCATAGCCAATTCTCTTCAGGGTGGTTAGGGTAGCAACCAGCTTAGGAGAAAGAGTTGTCCTTTTCCTAGACTGGCTGCCACCCAAGGTTAGAGAATATATTCTATTCTGATATTTAGTATGTAGCCAGAAGGGAAAGAGATGGATTCATGTCTTTTATAATGACATTTGCAAAAAAGGGAATACAACTGAACTTATGACGACATCATGTTGACACACCAGTTCTCATCTGACCACCAAAGTTAAGCAATATTGATCCTGGTCAGTAGTTAGATGGGTGACCACTGCTTGGGAAGTCAGAGAGCTCAGTTCCAATTCCAATTGGGTTTGTTACATTTACTTATGCAAATATCCTTGGGTGATCATGAATCAAAAAATAGACATGGTTCACCCAAGCATGTCACATCCACCCCTACCCACGCATACTGGCTCATTCCTCCCCATGAATCCAACAGAGGACCTTTGCAGGCTGAGAAGAAGAAGAATACAACTGACTAGCCCAGAATTTGAACTTGGCTTTCCAATTCCGCTTTCCATATTGATATCTGTCATGCTACCCACACATCAAAGTAAACCTGCATACCTTAAAAATCAGCATTTAAAGTAAAAATTATTTTTACTTGAACACTAACCATTTGCACTAGTGAGAAATATGCAACTCTCTCAGCCATGGCATGAATATAGTTATTTACTAAGAATTTATTTACTAAGAATCAATCTCACTACTATTCAAGCTGTGTTTTTGTTATACTGGAACACACCTATTCTATAGTTAATAGACTCTCCCACATATAATAAGTAGTAGCAGTAGCAGTCGTGAAGTCGCTCAGAGAGTTGCTCAGTCAGTCGATGTCGGACATTAAAGTATCAGCCACCACAACCAGATTGCTGCATCATTAACTATTATATCAAGTTCCTAACGTTTTGTACGTCGAACCATTTTAGGACCGACTTAGTGAAATACCAGCCTCCACTGTGAAACAACTATATAACAGTTTTCTACCTACTGTGCCTAACTTTGTGTTTTGTTGCTCAATTATAAAGATGCACCATGTAACTTCCATGGGTTTTACAAGAATAAGGTGAAGCAAAAAAGAAAGCATTCATGTTTAACTTTATTTTTGACTTCCAAAAAAGAGTGATGGGAAAAAAACAGTGATATTGGAAAGATAAGCTTGTCTTTGGTTGTCTGCTGATGAAGAAGAACAAAGCACTCTTCTGAAAAGCATGTTTTCTCCTGCTAACAGATTTCCTTCCCAGAAAGAAAATTTTGATAAAGTTAATATCTTTGAAATAGTTTTAATTAAATTATCTGTAATTACAGTTCATTATTTTCTACAGAAATTTTTAAACACCGTAGAATTAAAGCAAAACAAAAAAAGAAGCTACATGTGTTTCATTCTGTTGTCTTTGAAAAATATCTGGTGAGAAGTCCTTTCACGAAGACTAAGCTTATTTTCTTCTCTGCGTAAACCGTTTTTGATTATTATCAACAGAGGATTACCCAGGTTCTTGGGGGGGAAGCTCTTCTGCACATAACAAGTTTAATAGTGATAAGAACAGAAGAATTTAGTTATGGCTTTGTTTATTCAAGAAAAACATTTGCAGCCAAGTGAATGATTTTTGTGGATTGTCTTGGGGCTGCATGAAAATGTGGAAAATAATCTCACAACTTACCATGATTATTCCAAGGCAACAAAGATGATGCTCATATGTAAAAGGAAGTAAAATACTGAGGAATAAATACTACAACTTGCAGAGCTTCTTTTCTTCTATGTTTTGTTCCGGTTCAGGATGTGGACAATCATGGCTCTCCACAGCTTTCTATCCTTTGTGGCTCTTAGTAAATTTTATCTTTTTGCCATCTTACCTAATCCCTGTTCTTCTAACGAATTATACAAGCTTGTTAGGTAGGTCATTCAGTGCTTTTCTCTGTCACTCTTGCCTTCATTATGTCCTGGGAGTGTCAAATTCTCCAAGACCTCATTATAGGCCATAGAAATTTCAATTTTCTCTTTCTAATTCAAGTATGTGTCTTTTTATGTTGCCAATTTCTCTCAAACTTTCTCATTGCTTAAATGGTATTCTCAGCATCCTTCTGTAGAACCATATTTCAGTTGCCTCAAGTCTCTTCTTCATCCATGAGGAGATTGTCCAGTATTCACGGCCATATAGAAGGACAAAATTAGATAAAATTTCAGTACTCTAACACAGCAGGAAACATTATAAACATTTGAAATTTTCATTCTTTCTCCTCCAGTGAGGATATTGTCATAGAGAAAATTTGATATTACTTAGCAATTAAGCACTCTTCTCTCTGTTTCTAAGGACATTTTCCAACCTCTTGATACTTTGCTTAGTTTCTGAAAGCCACCTTTTGTTATGCTGATGCATATTTGGATTTCTGCATTACATTTTCTATCATCAGTTACTACACAACTCAGAGTTAAATTTCTCACCCTACTTGATTTTGACATCCCCAACAAGGGTGGCCTCTTTTGCTGACTACCTTGTCTAAGAGTTCTTATATTTTTCTTTCTGTGTCTGCCATCAACACATTCCGCTAAAAATAATCATGTTTCCTTTCTTCAGCATCTGAGGTTAATAAATTTAATTTTGAAAAAACTGAAATGCAATGAAGTTTAGAAATTGAATTTCATAAAACTACAGGAAGTGGAACTCTCTTGAGAAAAAGATAAAAATGAATTTCTACAGGCTTGCAGGCATGCAGGTAGCAAATGATAACAGAGGTTGAGAGCAGGCAGCATGGGATGCATTGGGAGGGCTGCTGGTAAAACTTAATAAAAATAAGTAAAGTAGCAATTTGTCTTAAAGTTCCATTTTTCCACTGTCTGCCTTTTTGTTTGTTTTGCTAATATTTCTCATGAATTTTCCCCATTTTTTCTCTCTCTACTTTTTAAATTTATTTTCGTATCTTCATTATTTCCAATGCACCCACCAAATATTTATTCATTGATTCATGTGTTTATAGTCACTTGAGAGAAATTGAAAGCTTAAACTAAGATAAGTGAGGCAGTGTTTTACTTTTATCTTTTAAATTTCATTCAGCTTTAGGCAGGAACACTGAAAGACCCTAAAAAGTCAGAATAATGATGAGGTAGGATTTTTTTTTATTCCACATATGTTTTTAAGACTTTATTATAATGGCTTGACTACGTTTTTCATATTATTGTTGCTTTTTATCACAACATTTTAGGCTGAATACAAGCCAATCATTAATGTTCAGTTGGAATAAAGAAATGGCATCTTTATATAGAAAATACTTTGTTCAGTTAGCAATGGAAGCTGTTTGCTAGAAGTAGGAATAAAGAATTAATTTCCGACAAGACTTGAATTCCCATCCAATATTAAAACATAGACACTACCTTACTGAATTTGACATGGAAGTCTATTGCTAAAAATAGCAATAACAAAATAACTTTCTTTATCACTTCAATTCACCTCCTATATTGTTCAAATGACAATGGAAATCCTGCCTTGACATTTCAACTTCAGTCACTTTCTCACCGACGTAATGCAGGTTACCTCTTTCTTTTCTACAAATATTTTCATGGCTACTGCTCTGATGAGCTTTTTTTTGCACTGGTGCCCAGACTACGTGGTTTTAAGTATGCTACTAGATTAGGGGTTATGGGGTGTGAGGGAGAGGTAATACCTTTAGCAGGGGAGGTTCGCCATGTCCATTTCAGGACAGCTCTGCCACTGGTTCTTACCTATCACCCAGCTCTCACTTGTGGCTCCTAGAAGCTGCTGCATGCAACAGCGGCCACCCCCAGGCAATGGCTTTGGTGAGCTGGCCAAATCAAGTGAGGGTAGTCGGTCAGTCTGAAACCCCAGTGTTATGCTTGGGCTGTGTCAACCCTACTGCATGCGAAGACTGACACCCAGCAGAACTAGCGAAAGAGATCACCTGTGAAAGTGGTGGCAGCATGTGTTATGGAGCACCCTAGAGCATGGATGTGACACTTAAAGTAGTTCTAGTCATCCACTGCAACCTGGCAGTCTCTCATCGTAACAGTTCCACGGGCCACTAGATCAAGACTTCCCAGGCCAAGAGAGTGAGATTGTCCATGTGCAACGATCTTCTCACTATAAAATCCTCATGCACAGGTCCATTATGCAGCTCATTGCAACTCATTACTAGATTGGCATGTAGGTCCCACCTTTTTAGTTTTGAATTAGTTAAATGTAACTGCCACTTTTACTCCAATAGTTTCTTTTCTTGAACTTCCTGCCTGTGAAACTCCTTTCCGTTTCCTTGCTTCCCTGATAACTATAATTTTCAGAAATGTAAATGCAATGTCAATCACCATCTTTTATCTTCTTGAACCCATTTAGCTTTCATCCTTTCCTCAATTCCCACCCCCCATACCGAGTCTTTTCTCTCTCCTTCACTCTCTGTAACACCCTGCATACTTGTCACATTCCTGCCTTTCTTGGGGTGGGGTGGGGGAGTGAAATGATTAAAAGAAAAAAAGGAGTTTAACTTTGGAAGCCCATGGCTAATAAAAAGAATAAAGAAGTGACTCTCAACAAAATATGAACTCACTATCTCTATCCTTACATAGATGAAACCTTTCTCAGTTGAAAATTATCACAGGTTTATTTTAGAGCTATCCACTTTAAATCGGGAATAATTGATTGATTCATTTATTTAATGGCATATCAACACCCTTATGGGTAATTTAATGTCAAAATTTAATTTTCTTGGGAGCTTTGAAGCAATAAAAATATGATATGTTTTTCTGCTTTCACAATTGAATACAGGGTAGATAATACTCTGTCTTTGTGTATATACATGTTTGTGTGGACATAATTACAAGAGGCAGTAATATGTATGTTTTATGTTGTAGTTTTGTTGAAGTTATATTTTTGGAATACAGTTTGATTTCTTTAAGAAATTGTAGGATATTATATGGATTAATGATATCATGAAAGAGTTCTTTCATGTTGGTTGTTTGGTGGGTTGATTTTGTTTATCGGCATATCAACCTCTATGGATTATTTAATGCTGAAATCTAAATATTTTGAACAATTTTATGGCTTCAACTAAATATATTTTGATCTCAATTGTATGCATTCAACTACAGATAAAATGTTGGTCATTTTGCTATAAAATGTGTTGGTATTTCTATTATAAAACATATTGTTGACCATTTTACCATAAAAATGTATTTGCATACTTTTATAGTGTTTTGTTTTTGTTTGTGGAGGTTCACGATTTGCCCATAGCTGTGACCTTAACACTTGCTACCACTCTGGGTTAGAGTGGACCTAGGA